TAACACTGGATGACACAACTGATTCCCCTATTTTTGAATTTTCTTGTATCATCAATAAATAGAAAAATATTAGTTTAAATTGCTTACTCTGATGCTTGTCAAATAGATTTTCCCCAGATCTTCATTTTCATCTTTTTTTGTTAGTGCTGTTGAGGACTGAGGTTCTGAGTTTTCTTTCATGTTTGTGATAGCAGACACAAAGTACTCTGGACAATAACATCCAACCAGATTACAAAATATTAAGTAACTAACTGGAGAAGAAGATTGGATAGGGCCCTCCCCACCATATTTTGGTGTTCATATACAGCTGGTGAAAAACTGTTGTTCTCATAATTAGCGAGTCCTATAGTGCCCTTGTAATACAAATACTATGATTTATATTAAATTAGGAAAAAATAGTAAATAGCTCATTCTTTTGTCCCCAAACTTGAAAAGAACAGGTACTAAATAGTTTTTTTTTTTTTTTTTTTTTCCAATTTTAAACCATTTGAATACCTATTTTTCAAAAATGTCATGGCTTTGCTTGCAGCCGGCTACAGATTTGGAAATGCCAGATTTCTGAGGCTATGTCTATAAAATGCAAACAAAATGTTAGGGATTATTAAGAAGGAAATACTTTCAATTTTGTTAATGATCATTAGGCCCCTTTATAAATCCGTCGTGCACCCATACATTGAATACTGTGCCCAGTTCTGGTTCCCCACACCTCAGAAAGGATATAAAAGAACTAGAGAAGGTACAGAGAAGGGCAACAAGGATGATTAATGGTATAGAGGGTCTTCCATATGGGAAGAAACTAAAAAGGCTGAGCCTATTCAGTTTAGAAAAGAGATGCTGGAGGGGGCACATGATGAGTGTTTACAAAATACTAAATAAATGAGGAAGAGAAAGTAAATAGTAAATAATAAATCACTATCTCTCACAATACAAGAAATATGGGTCACAAAATGAAACTAGTAGGGCACATCCAGATGAGTGTGCACATCCAGGGGCATACATTTCCCATGGGACAAATAACAGCAGCACATATTTTTGCCACTGCTTTTTGTCCCAGGGCACACCTCTGCAGGTGCACTGGTATGTGGCAAATTGACTCAGGTAGGGTAGGGGAGGCTAGGACCAGCACCTATGCTGACCCCAACAGCCTTACCTGGGGTCTTGAGGGCCTCTTGGGGCAGCAGCAGTGCTGAGCTGGCTGCTCAGAGCTTGACCAGCAGACAACATAGCTCTGGCCAGCCAGGCTGTTTTTGGCGGTGCTTGCTGATGCTGCTTTTGCTGTATCACTAATTTTAGTGGCAGGGTTTTTTTTGACACCGGGATTTCCTAGTGTAAAAAAACCCTGCCACACTGCAAGTTAACACAGCAAACAGGTGCAGATGTGCTTCATGCAGCACCGCAAACAGTTCTGAGGCATCACAAACCACACGTACATGCTTATCTGGATGTGCCCTTAAGGAGCAAGTTTAAAATGAACAGAAGGACCTTTTTGACACAGGGTGTCAGTGAAGTGTGGAGCTCATTGCTGCCAGACGTTGTGGAATCTGACAGTTGAGTTAGATTGAAAAAGGGATTGGACAAATTCCTGGAGGAAAGGGGCATCAGTAGCTATTGAGCATGGGAGTGAGGGATACAAACTCTGAATCAGAATTTCCTAGACCTTAAATGCTGGAGGCTGCAAGTGAGAGAGTGGAAAAAATCCTGGTCATGCCCTGTCCACTCTCCCTTTCATCATCCAGTTCCTGCCACTACGTACCACACACACACTAATGTTATTGAATTTATATAGGAAGAAAGACATATTTGTATTTCTTTTTATACATTTATTCTTTGCACCACACACCAATGGTATTGAATGTATATAGGAATGCAAATACATTTATATATTTGTAGAAAAGGAAGATATGAAACACACCATGAAGCATGGTGGAAAGGCAGCTGGTAAGCCTTCAGGGAGGGGTGGAAGATGGGGTAGAGGGAGAGGTGTAAGTTCCCCTTGCACCAGCCTGAGACACAGTCTCTTTCCTCTAGCTAGAAGGGGTGAGGCTTCCAGAAGCAGCAAGGAGAGGGGAGCAGTGCCAGTGCCACTGCCTA